GAAAGTTGAATAGTCGGACAGTTACTGATGCCTACTCTTTGCCAAGGATTGATGAAACCATTGATTCCCTCGCAGGTTCCAAAATCTTCAGCAAACTTGACCTACGATCGGGTTACTGGCAAGTTGCCATGAAGGAGTCTGACAAGCCCAAGACTGCTTTTTCGGTCGGCCCACTTGGTTTTTATGAGTGTGAAAGGATGGCATTCGGACTAACCAACGCTCCCGCCACCTTCCAGCGCCTGATGGAAAGATGTATGGGGGAACTTCATCTAAAGGAGTGTTTGATTTATTTGGATGACGTCATCGTTTATTCCAAGACGTTAGATGAGCACTTTAAACGACTTGATGCTGTTTTTCAACGCCTCAAGGAAGCTGGTTTGAAGCTTAAAGGCAGCAAGTGTGAGTTTTTCCTCCCTCGTGTCACATATCTCGGTCATGTTGTTAGTGCTGACGGAGTGGAGACTGACCCGGAGAAGACCAGAGTTTTGAAGGAGTGGCCCGTTCCGAAGTGTCTTAAGGATCTTCGCAGTTTTTTAGGTTTTACCGGCTACTATCGTCGTTTTGTTCCCGGTTATGCTAGTATAGCCAAGCCTTTGAATGACCTCCTTGCTGGACACCCGACAAACACTAAAGGTAAGAGTAAGAAGGATGCAGCTACTTGGACTTGGAATTCAGATCAACAAGAGGCATATGAACAACTCATTGAGAAGTTGACTACTCCTCCTATTCTTGGCTATGCCGATTTTACAATGCCGTTCATCTTGAACATCGATGCAAGTACTTCCGGTTTAGGAGCGATCCTCTATCAGGAGCAGGACGGTCAAGAACGCGTAATCGCCTACGCCAGCAGAGGGTTACGTATTAATGAGCGAAATTATCCTGCTCATAAGTTAGAGTTTCTTGCGTTGAAATGGGCTGTTGTTGACAAATTTAACGATTATTTGTATGGTAACTCCTTCAAAGTTCGTACAGATAACAACCCATTAACGTATGTGCTCTCTTCCGCCAAACTAGATGCAACTTCACATAGATGGTTAGCTGCGTTAGCATCTTTCAACTTCACCTTACAGTATCGTGCTGGACGTTCAAACATAGATGCAGACTTTCTTTCAAGAGTTCCTAATTCATCTGAAACTGTGGTTTTCAATGACGCTGTCAAGGCTATTATACAAGGTTGTATGTATATTAAGGAATTACCTGCTGTTGAATGTATCTCTATGAGTCAGAAAGTTGTTGACATAACTACTGATGTTTCATCAGACTACCTTAGTGATGTTGATTGGAAGCTGGAACAGACAAAAGATCCTACAATTTCAAGGTTTATACAGATCTTTTCTACTGGTCATAAACCAACTAGAAGACTTTCTTCACGGGAAACTGAATCTGTTCGTCAATACCTTCGAGAGTGGCCCAGTCTTTTTATCAAGGATGGTATACTTTATCGTCATGGTCAGGTATGTAATCATCCCGTAGATCAGCTTGTTTCTGCCAGACTCATTTAAGGATATGGTTTTTCACTGGTCTCCATGACAATGCCGGACATCAAGGTATTGACAGAACCAATTCCCTCATCAAATCTCGTTTCTTTTGGCCAGGTTTAGATGGTTTTGTTGAAACTCGAGTACGGAAGTGTCCTCGTTGTATTCGGCGGAAAACACCTTTGTCAACTTCTGCAGGACTTATTCCAATCCATTCTTCTTATCCTCTAGAGCTTGTCTGCATGGACTTTTTGACCTTAGAGATGTTAGCAGGTGGATATGAGAACGTGTTAGTAATCACTGATCACTTTACCCATTATGCACAAGCCATACCGACTAGGAACCAAACGGCACGCACCACGGCGAAAGCACTTTTTGATAATTTCATTTGTCATTATGGTTTCCCCAGTCGCCTACATAGTGATCAAGGCAGGAATTTTGATGGAGCGGTTATTAAGGAGTTATGTCAGCTTGCTAACATCACTAAGTCTAGGACTACGCCTTATCATCCCCAGGGTAACGGAATGCCTGAAAGATTCAACCAGACACTTCTGAATATGCAAGGTACTTTGGAGGATAAAAAGAAGCTGAATTGGAAAGCTCATGTACCAGCTCTAGTACATGCATACAACTCAACTCGGCATGAGACGACAGGTCTGACACCACATTTTCTTATGTTTGGGCGCCATCCTCGCCTTGCATTAGACGCTTTCCTCGGGATCGACCCAGACATTTCTTTTCACACCAAGAAGCCAGCTGAATTTGTTGAAGGCTTAAGGAAGCGCTTGAATTTCGCTTACAGAGTTGCTAGTCGTGAGGCGAAACGTCAAGCGAAACGACACAAGAAGCGTTACAATCTGCGTGTTCGGGAAGTACGCCTTGTTCCAGGTGACCGTGTATTGGTGAGAAACGTTGGTTTAAAAGGCAAGTGTAAGTTAGCTAATCGTTGGAGTAAAACTATCTACATTGTAGTTGATCAGCCTAACCTAGATTTACCTATATTTCAGGTTAAGCCGGAAGATAGTGATGATGCACCAAAATTACTTCACCGTAATATGCTACTTTCGTTCATGGGTCTCCCGCTACAGGAACCGAAACGACTGTCACATCACTCTCCCAGTAATGGTAATTTTCAACAAAGTTCTCCTGTCAATTCTCTTTCCTTTTCAGACACAGCAGCACCTAAATCTTCTGAGTCTTCGAGTACTTCCATTAAAACCTCTATTTCAGACAATCCATCAGTCGTATCCGCGGAATCTGATAAGTATGTAATTCCTGCAAGACGTACAGGTAATAGTTTGTTAAGACCGGAAGCTCCACCTTTTCTTCCACGAAGAACTTCTAGAGTAAGAGAGAAAATATGAAAAACAAGATCAACAAGGAAAGGCGGCGTTCAATGAACGCAACCCCCATATGACCCAGCAACAAGAACCAATGGCAAGGAGCCCAGGCGGACCCCAAACATAAAAAGGACAGGGCAACGACACGTTAATCATTAAATGATAAATAATTTGTAACTGATTAGGAATTCAAAGAAAATAATAATAGGCCCACAAAGGGGAAAGGGACAGGAGACCGGGGGAAGGGGGGGGGGGTTAATCAAAGAAATAAAAACTAGAGGCAATGGGGAAGATACTTACCGTAGACGAGAAAACAACAAGGGACACAAGCAAAAGTGTCACCAAAACAGTATGAAACAACATAGACATACATCTGAGGAACACAGTGGGGCGCTGGATGACTGATGATTGGAATTTGAGTAGGAAACGGTAGTACAGATTCTCAGGCAGATGTCAAATTTGATTTTGTCATTTTTTGTAAATTGTTTTACAAAAGATGAGAACAATAAATTGTTTCAGTTGAGTTTTGTATATTAATCTTTATTTCAAATTGTCAGTGTTGGTTTACTGATGTTTGAGATTAGTGTTTATTCATATGTGTTATCATATGAGTGTAGGGTTTCGTCATATATATTTGTAAGTATGGTTTGTATTTAACCGATTTGTAAAATTTCTTCAAAGAAATTTGACAAATTTTATTTACTCTGAAAGAGTTACTTTGAATATTGTGTAATGTGAAAACATAACACAAGTTCTACAGTTTTGTAGATGAGTCAGTGTACTAACGTGCATGGTTCACAATCCCAAAGAACGCGTTCACCATTCCCAACAGTGCTTCGGGCACTTTTCTGGTTGTTAATGCCTTACAGCATTTTCAAGCAGTATACATTACCTTTATTGGTAATTTCACTGTTAGGACAGAAGTACTTTAACGAGTCCCATGTCCTTAGTATTAGTTCTACTGTAGTTAGACAGTATGGTTTTTGATATATATGCAGGTATCAGTAATTTTTGTTTATGAGTTGAAAATGTCGGGACGCCATTTTATCCTTGGCGGGGAAGTATGTCACAGGGTCATTTTGTCTTTGCTAGAATACTCTGTAATTCATACCCATACTCTATATCATTCCCATGATTCCCCTATCGTCTCTTTTTCAATCATTCATATCATTATTCAACTTCATACTAATAACTTCATTTGACCTGTAACACGTTGACGGGCCTCATTCACTTCATTTTTGAATTCGGTCACGCTAACCTTTACGCATGCGCACAAGAAATGAGAACTTTTAGCGAGAGCTGTTGTCATGGGTTCGAGTCCCGGTCAGGCTGCACATTTTTCTCACCCTGTGACATTTGGCGCCCAACGTGGGGCCGTGACTGCTTATAGCTCAGAGTTCCATTAGCATTGCACTGTAGCTTTGTGAAATTCGAGGACAAATTTCAATATTGTGGTGAAGTATGTCACGGTTCAGAACTGTTCACTATTTAGGGGAGAAGATGTGTAAGCGGCCGGATAGCTCAGTCGGTAGAGCCGCGGTACGGTATTCCGAGGGTCCCGGGTTCGAGTCCCGGTCAGGCTGCACATTTTTCTCACCCTGTGACATTTGGCGCCCAACGTGGGGCCGTGACTGAATATAGCTCAGAGTTTAATTCACATTGCTCTGTAACTCTGTGAAATTCGAGGACAAATTTCAATATAGCAGGGGAGTATGTCACGGTTCAGAACTGTTCACTATATAGGGGAGAAGATGTGTAAGCGCCCGGATAGCTCAGTCGGTAGAGCCGCAGTACGGTATTCCGAGGGTCCCGGGTTCGAGTCCCGGTCAGGCTGCACATTTTTCTCACCCTGTGACATTTGGCGCCCAACATGAGGCCGTGACTGATATAGCTCAGAGTTTAATTTACATTGCTCTGTAACTCTGTGAAATTCGAGGACGAATTTCAATATAGCAGGGGAGTATGTCACGGTTCAGAACTGTTCACTATTTAGGGGAGAAGATGTGTAAGCGGCCGGATAGCTCAGTCGGTAGAGCCGCAGTACGGTATTCCGAAGGTCCCCGGTTCGAGTCCTGGTCAGGCTGCACGTTTTTCTCACCCTGTGACATGTGGTGCCCAAAGGGGGACCGTGACTGAATATAGCTTAGAGTTTAATTCACATTGCTCTGTAACCTTAGAAATTCGAGGATGAATTTCAATATAGCAGGGGAGTATGTCACGGTTCAGAACTGTTCACTATATAGGGAGAGAAGATGTGTAAGCGGCCGGATAGCTCAGTCGGTAGAGCCGCGGTACGGTATTCCGAGGGTCCCGGGTTCGAGTCCCGGTCAGGCTGCACATTTTTCTCACCCTGTGACACTTGGAAACACCCCGCCGACTGAAATTATTTGCAAAACTTGGGAATTTACTAAATCCACAGAAAGAAACGCTGATGACCCGTTTTTCTGCACGTGCGCTGCCGTATAAGGGTTTCCGTCTGTCGCGTTTCCGAGACCATTCCCAGAATTCCCACTTGATAAGCACGCGCCAGTTTTGCACGCGCCAAAAATTATATTAACATCATTTCTATTCAGATACCCGTATGGTAAACAGTGCGCTGATACCCAGTTCGTGTTGTCGTTACTGTCAATAACATTTTCAGGATGGGTACCAGACGATGCTTGGACTGTTACGTTATGTAACTTCGTATATGACTTGATGAGGCCAGCATCTGGATCCCAGCTTTTAATTGAACCAATGAACAAGGCGCAGAATATAGTGTATTTCAGAAATGGAGACAACATGTTTATCTGAAAATAAAAAATATCAAATATAGTCCATTACATGACTAAATACAAATTGGAAGGACACACAAGCGCACGCACACTGGCACGCATGCATGCACAAATAAAAAAACAAAAAACAGAATATTAATATTATATTTATTGATTAGAAGATACTTTTTTAAGTTCTCTGAGAACACCCCTAAAATTTTTTCAATTGATATACTCTTTTTGGCTGCAAAATTCAGTATAACAATTCTTCTAGATTTAAAAAGTCATCTTCACATTTTTTGTTATAATTCTGTATCATTTATCGCTCAATAAAAAAAGGAAAAAAAAAGATTTAATAAAAAACATACTCTGGTTATAAAAATGAACATAAAAACGTAACAAGTTAATTTCCCCTGAACCTACAAACTATATACAATCATATGTGCCACATATTCAGTTCAAATATGTTTATATAGAGACACTTAAAACAGGATGTACGTACGAATGTTTTGATGTTACATCAATGTATCATCATCTTTATCTAGATTTTACCTATCCTGTTATACAGAGATCAATCATTAGTGTCCCGGGGATTGTTTAGTTTTATGAACCGGTTGTAGATTTAATGTATTGATAATATGAGCCGCGTCACGACAAAACCAACGTAATGCGTTTGCGACCAGCAGTCTGATCAGGATACATGCTGTTCGCTTACAAACCCTATTACAAGTAGAGAAACTGATAGCCAACAGCATGGATCCTGATCAGACTGCGCGGATGCGCAGGCTGGTCTGGATCCATGCTGGTCGCAAACGCATTACGTTGGTTTTGTCGTACGTGGCTCATATTAGATCTAAAGGGAAGGTGGTGATATAGATGGTACTGCCGTACGTTAATTAGACACAAAAGGCTCTTATAAAGTTTGTTAAAACTGTTATTTTTGACGTCACATTTGAGTTTACTTGAAGGTTATTTGCTAGAAGTTAAAACAAACAAACACCCCCCCCCCCAAAAAAAAAAAAAAAAAAAGCAACAACTATCAACCCGTTATATTTAATTACGGTTAATTTCTTGCTGATTAACAGTGGGGTACATTTGTATATAATTATATCAGTTTTCTATAGTCGTTTAATTGAAAAATGTCCGAATTTTCTTTATAAACAGAAAGGAAACATACATTGTATGCTTTTCATACATATGGAACATGGCTGGATATTGTGTGCATCATTAAAAAGTTTATATATTATTTAAAAAATATTTTAAATCTATCTTTTTATCAATGCCTCACTTTTTACCGTTTGAAGTATTACTGTTATTTAATTGTTTACGTTAATGCCATATAACACGTTTATGCTATATAACACGTTAATGCTATATAACACGGGAATGTTATAAAACACGTTTATGCTATAAATGTGGGAATGCTTTATAACACGGGAATGATATATAACACGTTAATGCTGTATAACACGCTCATGCTTTATAACACGGGAATGCTATATAACACGTTGATGCTATAGACGCGGGAATGCTTTATAACACGGGAATGATATATAACACGTTAATGCTATATAACACGCTAATGCTTTATAACACGGGAATGATATATAACACATTAATGCTATATAACACGCTAATGCTATATAACACGTTAATGCTATATAACACGTTTATGCTATAAACGCGGGAATGCTTTATAACACGGGAATGGTATATAACACGTTAATGCTATATAACACGTTAATGCTATATAACACGGGAATAAATAGTGATATATAAATCTTTAAATATAACAAGGACAATAAATACAATATAGAAAAATTTACGGATTGTTCATCTTTTTTTCCTTCTGTGCAATAGTAGTTAAAATAAGATGCCAAAATATCTAAACGTAATACTTTCGTTGTTTTGAATAATTCATAAAGTTACTGGACCACGTAATAAAAACATCGATTAGTGACGTAGATATGTACTAGTTAATATAATAAAATGTATATCAATTTAGTTTAAGTCAATCCTTCTTTAAACAAAATATATTCATGTTTTTTGTGTCAATCCTTCCTTAAGTGTTTTTCGTCAACATATGCAAAATCCTGGTGCGATTAAAACATTATTACACCGTTGTGTATCAGTTATTAACAATCATTCTCCAATCAAACGATTGATTGAAATTACATTCATAGGTGTGCACAGTAATATTTTGTTTTTAAAAGCTGCAAGCCTTCAGATAAGTGAAATATTCAAGCTATAGAAAAAATATCAATATTCATGTATATATTTTTATCAACATGGCGCTTCGTATGCTTTATGGAACGTATGACATAATTTACGAACTTTATCGCCATATTTTTACCAAGTTACAAACATGGGAAGATTTGTTTTCGAATAACCATATCAGGTCGATTTACCCTTACTCCTTTAGTATTGTTTTTGAGATTCTTTTATCGCATAGTTTGGCCCGCCCTGTGGTCCTTTACCGACCGAAATATGAGGCATGATGAAAATTGTAATTAAAATAAGACTTGCATACTCCGTAAATTGTAGGTATTACAGTACATTATGTTAAGCATAAGATGAAAATATAGAGTAACGCGCATTCATTAAAAGTTAATATAAGAGTTATATATATTTGTGTTTCAAAAAAGTAATATGCTTTAACTCCCAGTCGTCAAAATATGTATGATCGAAAAAGTATAATTTTTATTTCAAAAATGTATTTTACATACCTGAAATACTGCACCATAAACAAATAGATAGTTCTGATATACACGACCTTATATACACTGAACTAGCTCGATGCTTCTATATATAGTTTCTTATCATTTAAATGTGGAGATCATTTTGTAGGGACATTTTATAATAACAATCTATATCTATCTATATATAATTGTATTATGTTATTCTACAAACATATTATTTGACCGCGACATACAGTCGAAGAACAAGACAACTGTTGAAAACGATGACGACAGTTGTAAATTATACATGTAACATGGGAGAAGTTGGAAGCAACAGATGGTTATATCAGTTATAAAAAAAAATTAAAAAAAAAACAACAAAAAACAAACAAACAAAAAACAATTAGTTCATAAAACCCGTTTTGAACAAATAGTTTAAATTTATACCACAATGTCTTCATGCAATTATTTCGACTCTATAATCCTTCAAGCTATGCTTGGTCCAATATATCCACCTATTTCATAGAATTAAGTAGCATCATCAATACATAATACAAAATTCTTTTAATTTTTCTTAATTAAAAATGTATTTATTTATTTTCAATTAATCAATTAGTTGCCAATGTAAGTTTTGATGTTGTCCATTTTTTGTGATATCTTATGTGTCTATAATTAAAAGATACCTAAAAATGGAATTATTTGTGCCATCTGCGTCACATTGTACTGTTAACTGGTATAATAAATTGTGAAGAACAATATCATTTTGTTATTGTTTTCATGTAAATTAATTAAGAAAATATATTATATACTGATAAATAAAATATTGATGAAATAAAAGCGTATTTTTGTTTCCGCATTCTTCACTGGTGTCTTGTCATATTACTTCCTTCTATTCAGCCATTAAAGGGGGGAAGCATTCAGATTGTGATCTCAAAAAAGAGACAAATGTAATAAACAGGAAACGTTTTTTTTGTTCATTTTTTCAATCAATACATTATTTATTTTCACCTTGTGGAATTAAATTTATCCTATTTCACTCGTGGACTATCGCCAGTCTTGAAATATTGCCTACACCGCTCAATGAATCAATAGAAAACATGGTACAAACACAACACGGTAACCAATGGGGGCAATGCGGGATTAGCGGGATAAATGAGGCACTATGGTGATTTTGTTTCGGCGTTAAAATACCAATGGATATTTCAAAGTCACATTTCGAATAGTTTTGACATCTAACTGTCCCTGCAGAACCGGACCTTAACCGAGACTTTGATAATCCAAGAGTCAAAGAAAGCCATAGTTAAAGATCTGACTGCAGTGATCCACTGCATGAAACCGAGTATTAAAATAATAAAAAAATAACATAGAAGATTAAGTGGCTTACATATTCATCGTTTTCTTTCTTTTAGTCTGCATTGTTGCTTCCCATGCCGTGTTTGTTTCATTTGCTAGATTTTAATTCATTAGCGTAACAGCAGCGATTATATCACTGCGTTTTTAGAAATTACCCGCGTAAAAAACGCACACAATTACCTTCATAAAAGACGCACCCGCGCATAAGACGGGTAGCGGAACCATCTACTGTAGTACTAAAATTCAATATTGGCAATCTGATTTTATGAAATTGTGGATACACAATAGAGATATTATTAAACATTATAAAAACAATTAGAGAACTGCTTGCTTGAATAATCGAGAAAAAAAGTAAACGAATTTCCCGCAAAATATTTTATAAGAGCTGTCAGCAGAACTTCACATGCAACTATTTCCAGTGCTAGGTCTTGGTAATCTAAGAATGAACAGACACATACGAGTCTTGGACAGTGACCCAGATATTTGCATGTTCACAAAAAAGGCTATAATTTACTTTAATCACGTCAGAGTTATTTGTCTTTGTAAGTGACTTTCATTACGATTTAGAGACATGAATTTAGTTTAATGAAACTTCCATCAATAGTTTCTATAATACAGTAATATTTCAAGGCAAATATTTGGGTCTTTGAAAGTGACCTATAATTATAATCAAGAAGGCATGTATCAATTTTCAAGAGAAAACCTTCAGTAGTTGAGAAAATTGTAACATGCAAAGCTTAACTCAAGTAAAAAATTCATACCCGAGTTATGGACAATGGAAAGTGAACTCTAATTGTAGATAATCATGGAGATGTGTATTAAGTTTCAAATGAGTATTTTATTAAGAACTTTTAAATATTGATATTTCATGTGAAATTTTAAACACAATTTATTTAATCTCACAAATGGCCATACAGAATTGCCAACAAAATCCACCTCAGAGTTTAGGGCCCTTTAGTCTGACCCCGTTTATCACCATGAATATATGTTATAAGTTTCAAGAGAACACCGCGAGTACCTGTGATGAGTGATTTCAACAAAGATTTTTTTTGGTTCATCAGGGGCCATAAATCAGTCAAAGTCCGGAACTGTAGACTAGTTACCAATTATGATCTCAAAACCACATGTGTAAAGTTGCAAGCAAATATTCAAATTATTGATAAGATATGATGCTGCACAAAAATGCCCATTAAACTTTCAGAAATAATACAATGTTGTGGATTCCAGTGATTACATTTAGCCCTGCTATTCTTTTAATAGAGGAGCTGAAAAGTAAATTTATATGCACCGTCACTTAATGATTTTCACTGTTGATGAATTTGTTTTCCTAAAAGAAATATTTGTGAGGTAGGTCATTGGGTTTGGGTATTACTAGTTGTAGACTAGAACTGCCAATGTCATGGCGTGAATACCCCCCCCCCCCGCATACCACTTTGTCAG